AGAAGCTGCAAGGGGCCTGATCCCTTTTTGTTTTTTTAGTGTGTATAGCCTGCCTGCTTCTCCCTCAGCCAGGGAGCAAGCTGCCGGGGGGCAAGAGGCCCCTGAGCTACAGTGGGACCCCAGTCCTTCCCTCCTTGGCAGTGGCACTACCCAGGGCTGCCCAGGTAGATTGCTAGTGTGCTGGGGGCTGTTCCAGTTTGGAGGCAGCACCCGGTCAGATGCAACTCTCCCCAAGTCTGCCAGGGCTGCTGGTGTCCCATGCACTGTCCCTGCTGCCTTCTTGCCACCTGGGACTGCCCAGGAATGGGCTGGCTTCCCCTTCGGGCAGTGCAGGGAGATAGCAGGAAGGTGGCTGGGTGTGGTGGTGACAGGAGAAGGTGGTGGGGACAGTGCACGGGGTGCTGGAAGCTTGGGTGAGCTTGGGGAAACTCGGACTTGGGAGGCATCCAGTGCACTATGCACCATCCCTGCCACCTTCTCCGGCCACCAGCACACCCAGCCACCCTCCTGCCACCTCCCTGCACTGCCCCAGGGGCAAGCAAGCCCATTCCCGGGTGGTCCCAGGCAGCGGGAAGGTGGTGGGAACCATGCACAGAGCACTGGAAGCCCCAGAGGGCTCAGGGAAGAGTTGGATCCAGTGCTGCCTCTGAGCTGGGCCAGCCACCAGCCCTCTAGCAGCCTGCCCGGGGGTGCACCACTGCTGAGGAGGGAAGGACCGGGGCCCTCCGCAGCTCAGGGGCCTCTTGGCCCCCTGGCAGCTCGCCCCCCAGCTGTGAGGCAGGCAGGCTCTGCCGGAGAAAAAAAGAGGGATCTGGCCCTTTGGTCCCCTCGCCATAATGTGACAGAAAATTGAAACAGTGGGTTTCAGTTAAAAACCTATTGTTTCAATTTAGAGGCATAAAATAAACCCTGGGGATTAAACCCCCATCACGTGTACAACACCCTGAAAAATCACCAGGTTGATGCCAGAATCCCACAGTCAACCTGAACCATGTGCTGAGTCATTTGTGTGACCCAAACTGCTCCCTTGTGGTTCAGGAAATGAGCGGGGCTTTTCTTAGAGCACTTTCTTTTTTGTGGTGAAAATTGCTATTGTAACATTCAGGTACATGTACATCAATTATAAAACCACACAAATTAATGCCTAACTGCTCTGTCAGGCTGCCAGCTCAAGAGACTGCACAGGAAACTTCCTGAGCCACAAAAGAAACTCAAAATCACTCAGCTATCCCTGCAAGCCAAACCTGGACTGGGTAGAGAGGCCTGGTAATACGTGCCCGGGGGTGGCAGCTAAGCATGAAGCATTAAATCACAAGGTTAGTCTGTATCTAACATTTTATGTTATTTTTCAGGGCCTTCCTTGGGATTCCCCCTAGTCTCTTTGAAAATCTTAAGTCACACGGTTCTTTCAGTTAATGCCATTCTTTTACTGATCACGGGTGGGAGGGGGGTGGGATCACTAAAATGCTCTGGGCATGCTCTAATCCTTATATGACACACACAATAGGGCATTTTATTCACATGTGCTGCCCTGCTAGCACAAGGGGCTGAGCAATTATATTGAGAACAAGGATCCTTCATCTTACATGCAACAGAGTAAACCAATGGATCAGCTCATTTGAAATACATTTGATGGGTAGCCTGGGATCTGTCCTGGGTCTGGTGCACCTTAATAGCTTCATTAATTACTTAGAGGATGGGACTGAATGCACAGTTAGCAGATTTGCAGATGCCACTAAGCTGGATGGAGATGCAGACTCTTTGGAGGAAAGGATTAGGATTCAGAATGACCTTGGTGAACTGGAGAAATGGTCCAAATTTTATGGAATTAAATTCATTAAGGACAATTGACAAATCCTATTCTTAGGCTGGAGTAATTAAATGCACACATACAAATTGGTGAATGACTGATTAGGCTGCAGCATTGAAGAAAAGGACCTGTGAGTTATAGCAGACCACAAGCTGAATAAGAGTCAATAATGTGCTCCTATTGGAAAAAAAATAGCACCCTGGATTGTACTAACAGGATTGTTGCCTGCAAGTCAAGAGATTCGGCTGATTCAGCTGCGACCAAATCTCTGAATCAGACTAATCTGAACTGATTCAGGACAGTGATTCGAATCACCAAATCTAATCACTGTCCCCTGAATCGGCTGAATCGGAATCCAAAGCGAATACTAACTGCTGCGCACAAGCCTAGTAAGTTGCTCATAAGTCTATTCTATTCTATTCTATTCTAGTTCTTATACTGTACTCATCAACATAGTAACTTAATACCCTTAAGTAGGACATTAAGGAGAGTGGGTCTGAGAAGGGCATTAATTTATTTATATTTATATATATGTTTACATGTAGATAATTAAATTCACCCCCTGTAGAAGGCCACCACAGAAATCATAAGCCTCCTCAGTCCCCCCTACAGTTTGTCTTGAGCAGACTGTAAGTGGTGCATTGGTCTTGCTCTGGTACTCTATAAAGAGAATGGATTTCACCTGGAAAACATTTTACTCTACTTGGGTGAGTCACACACTTGTAAAACTCCTTTCGTGCTCAACATGAAAATATGTATTGGGACAGTCCAACAAAGCAAAAATAATTGCATCTCTATCAGTTTTGATCCCCACTGCAAACATTACAGGATCCATTTCTGGGATTTTGTGACATGGCACTTGACATGCCTGCCGCTTTGAGAGGTTGCTTGAGAAGCAGCCTGCAGGTGTGGCAGGGGCTGATTTGAGAAGCACGTGACCAGCATGGGGGCTGGGCTTGAGCCATATAAGCCTGGGACTTGTGCTGGTCAGGCAGTCTAGCTCTGGGAGCCACAGGAAGAGGAGCTCTGGGCATCAGGGCTTTTGCCTTCACAACTGAGCTTAGGGTAAACTCTGGACAGTGGGACCAGAGGGTCTGGGAGCCCAGAGAGGGGCTGAGAGTGGGACCACTGGGTCTGTGAGCCCAGAGAGGAGCCACATATAGGACCAGCAGATCTGAGAGTCTGTGTGGGGTGGAGGTAGAGGCTGGGGCCTGAAGCCCAAGAGGGGTAAAGGGTGACTCCAGGGAGGAAGGCTGCACTTGGGAGTAGCCAAGAGAAGTGAAGTGCCCAGGAGGAGCAGGCCATCCTGGAAGTTGAATGAACATCAGGGAGTGATAACACCTGTAAGGCATGGGGAGTGATGTAGGAGCAGATGAAGCCCTGCAATTAGCCCTTAAGGCTTGGGGAAACCCTGGGGCAGCCTCCGATCTTCTAGAGGTTAATACGAAGAAGACGTGGCAGGAAAGGGAAGGGGAATTTGACTTGAGAGGTGGAGGCCAAGGGCTAAGGGGATACTCCAGGGGCCAGATGGCCACCTCTGGAGCAAGGACCCTGTTACAGGTCTCAGATTGCTTGCCTCAGTTCTCTAGGCCAGGAGCACAGATTTCCTCATCATTATGGCACATAGTATATAGTGAAATACTATTTAATGGTATCTGGGAGAGATTTATTAGGCTGCTGAATTAAGTGAGTTCCACGTGGGATGGCCTGACATTCCAAACTGCCATGCTATCATATCATAGCTAATACTACAGATGGACAGCTCACGGCAGCATGTTTACTTCTCAGGTGTGGCTTTGTGAGCCGATATAGGCAGATCACAACTTGGACTCAATTTCCAGTCAGAGTCCATAGGGCATGGATTATGTTGATCAGGAAGGAAGGAAGGAATTACCCACTGGTCAGATTAGTACAGATTGTAGGGGGTGGGGTTGCTTTCTTCTGCAGCAGGAACTGTAGTTCTCTTGCTTAGATCTCTTGAATGTATTTTAACAACTCTTGCAGTAGCAGGACACTGACAGCCCTTGTCCCCTTGCTTTGTGTAGCAGGTTAGGGTGCTCTTAGTATTTTTGGGCAACATGCCTTTTGTTTGTGACAAAGTTGATTGTGTAGTTTTAGGAATAAGTTAGACAAGCATTTATATGGGATGATTTGAATAGGGATGATCTTGCTTCTGGTGGGGAGTTGAACTAGATGACCTTCCTGTGGATAAAACTTAAGAGGCATCAAGGGAACTTCATGCTGAGACTTGGACTGCAATAGCAAGGTGTGGGGAGTTAGGTTTGAAGTGAGATGCTTGTGTGGCCATCACTGTTATGGATTCTAGCGTACAAAATTAATCACTAAAATTAGTTGCTAAAAAAAACCCATCTCATATAGATGCAATAACAAAAGAGAAACTGGTATCTGTTAGGTCAGGGGTTCTCAATCCCCGGGCGAGTCAGCTGCCAGACTGGAAGTGGCTGTGGACCAGCAAACCGTGGCCCCCCAGAGCGGGGCGGAGATGCCATGGCTCCTTCTGTAGGGACTGCAGCAGCGCAGGGTTTGCCCCACACCAACCTGGGGAGCAGGGGTATCCTCACCTGTCTGCTGGATGGAAATTCTGGCTGCATTTGGCTGTGACGGCTGGGCTGCGGTTTGCCGGGCTGTGAGGCTGCAGCATAAAAACTTTTGGAACCCCTGTGTTAGGTGATCAGAGAAGCTGAGATACCTATTGAACATACACACTTTGATTACAATACTACTAGGACAAGAAAGGAAGTGTAGCTAACAGGTAATCTACCAGGAAAGTTAAATAGAAGAGTTATAATCTTACCTGTAGGAGTAAGGATATCAAATATTTGATTTTTGCCTTGTAACTGCTCATAGGCTGCTCCCAAATCACAAAGGAAATTTTATTGGGCATGTCCAGGGAGATAAAGGATATAAGGGGAGAACTTCTCAACTCTTGCTATTTAACTGTTCTTCCTCAGTTAGGAGGAAATTAAAATATTTTCGTTCAAGCAGAAATGAGAATATTTTTTGAAACTTCAGGTTAAATGAAGAAACATTTAAATGTCCCTTGTTTAGTGAGGGCTGAAACAGTAAAAGCCACTGCCCAAACCATTGGGTTACTTTGAAAACTTGAGTAATAGAGATGAGATGCAATTTAATAAAGCAAAGTGCAAAGTCATGCACTAAGGAATTAATAACAATAGCTTCAACTATGAGCTGGGGGCTTGTCAGTGAGCAGCAAGTGGAGGAGGAGAAAGACCTGCATGTATGAATCAGAGAGACGACTTTGAGTTAATACCTGAGTTCATGGAGGTAGCCATGAAAAATGCAAATGGTATCATAGCATATATCACTGGAGTTATTTCCTGAGGAGATAGTGCTTTGCACACTGGCACTGAGAAAGAACTGAGTTTGCCTCTGGAACCCTGTGTATAATTCTGGTTATCCATGTTTAAGAAAAGTCAAGCTAAGAGGCTACTTGGATGATTGTGGGCATATTTGATGAGAGGAGACTAAAAGAGCCTGGATTTCCTAGTTTAGCAAAACAAAGGCTGAGAGGATATGATTGCTTTCTATGAATGCACCAGTGGATAGGCATTTAAACATCAGGGAAGGGAAGATAATGGAAAACATTGGCCAGGACAAATGGGTACAAACTGGCTCTAATAGATTTAGACTAGAAATTGGAGGAAACTTTCTAACCATCATAACAGGAGATTTCAAAAGAGCCTTCTAATGGGAGTCCTTGGGGCAAATCACCTCACCTAGCCCATCGGAAGATGGAGATTGATCAGTTTGTGAAAAAGATTATAGAATGTGATAGCAGGGCACTGGATCTGATAACCTAGGAGGTTCCTCCTTGTCCTGTGTTTTTTAACTCTTCAACTTCCAAACAAACCAGCAACAGTTGATTTGATGCAAACAGAGAAAGCAGGGTTTCCTCAGCCCTAGTGGCCTAGGCCTCTCCTCCTTGCGCTATGTACAAATGTGCAATGGAGCACTGTACCCTTAAGGCTACCAACTCTGCCTTTTGCAAGGAAACTGTGGCAATGAATTCCTAAAAGTGTGGAGCCTTAGCTGTGAATTCAACACTATTGCCAGTCCCAGAAAAGTTCAGTCCTAGTAACCATTAATAGAAATGTCCAACCTGATCTCAACCACTGCAGCAGGGCAAAGAGAAAGAGGCTGTTTCTGAAGCTGAGAAGCCCCAGGATACTGATGCATCTCTAGATCATAGCTGCTCTGAAGCAAATGATAAACAGAATGGGGCATGGTGCACAGGAATGATATTGCTCATGGCAGAAAGAACCCATACAGATACTGCTTTTGAATAGTCTTTGATGGCAGCCTCAGTTCAGAGCAGGTTTCAGCAATCCAGCCTAGAGGTGACTGAGGCAAGAATAACTGGGCAATAGCTACCTGAAGCAGAAGCTACACAGATTAACTCTCCACTGTTATGCATTGGACACTTTTGGCCACCAGTTTAGTTCACAACAGTCATCACCTATAAGA